AAAAAAAAAAAAGAAGAGGGTGCAGAGCCCATGGTGAGAAATAGTGCCGCTCGTATTGCTCTTACCTGCCAAGGCCAGCTGTGGGGGACTGCGTCCTCACCATTGACAACGCGGGCGGAGGGCTGGTGGGAAGGTCGGCCACAGCCCGAGGCTGGAAGGGAGAGCAGAGACATCAATCAGCCAGAGGGTCCCCCCAAAACAAAGAAGAGGCCTGGGTCTCAGTTCTAGATGCACCACACGCTGGCGTGACCCGGCGTAAGCTCTTTCCCCTCTCTGGACCTTTGTAGCCACATATGAGCAGTGAGCATTTGGACTAGACCAGGGGTTTCCAGAGTCCCAGGAGGCTAGGAATGGAGATGTGACCTCCTTCCACAGCAGGACTGAAGGAGCTACTCACAGTGCCTGGTACCCAGCGAGCCCTTGAGAAGTGATAGCTAATTGTCATGAAAAGTGGTGGCTTTGAATAAGACTGCCTGTGTTCAAAATACAGCTCTGCCCCTACTTCTAGCGTGGGCTACTTTACCTCTCTGAGGGTCAGTTTCTCCATCTGTAAAATGGGGATACTAATAATACTGATCACATGGGTCTGTTACAAGAAATAATTTAAGAAAAAATCCTTAGCATTCCGTGGCATATAGTAAGCACTCTTACATTACAAGAGATAATATAAGAAAAGGATTACAAGAGATAATATGAGAAAAAATCCTTAGCATTCCCTGGCATATAATAAGCACTCAATGAACATTATCTGTTACTATTACTGTCAGTCAAGGGAGGCTGCTTGGAGGAGGTAGCCCTGAGCTGGATTATAATATGGCAGAGAGACTAGGAAAAGGCTATGGAGGCTAGCCTTTTCCACAGGATATGGAGTGGGGTAGGGGGAGGAAGAGGAGCATTGGAGGGTTAAGCAGAGGAACAGAAATTCCAACACAAGCACTCTAACCACAGAGCCCAAACTCTTCACAACTAGATTTTCTTTACTGCCCCCCAACGAGAAGTCCCACCACAGTGCTTTGGGTACTCTGGTCTTTCTCCTGAGCTGTTCCATCCATGGCTCCTCCTCCATTGTCCTGCCCCAGCACCAAGCTGAACCCCCACAATCATGCCCAGGTACAAGCTGAGATCTCCTCCTGTGGAGCCAGGTGTTGGGTTCATGAGACTCAGGGTGGGTGGTAGATTTCAAGGGTCCCTGACCCAGTGCTGCACAGGCTGGGGTCTTACCAAGGGCCACAAAAAGGAGCGAACTGAGCAGCTGGAGCATCATGAGTTTTGAGACGATAGGAAAGACACACACAGCCTGCGGCTCTAATATAGGGCAGAAAGCAGATGCGGGGGCAGATTGGGCCCCGTTCCCAGAACAGGTGGTGGAACGCCAACTCTCTCATGGTCCAAGGCCATGGCCCCCACCTGCTGCCCATGGGGGAGTGACAGCCAACAGCAAGACCCAAGGTTCCCTCCAACCTGTGGCTACACAGGTGGCACTGAATGGCTAGCTGATAACAGGGGAGGCGGAAGGAAAGTTCTCATCAGAACAAGCCAACCTCTTCCAGGAGAGAACATGGGCTCTGGAACTGGTCAGACGTGGGTTCAACTCCTAGCTGTGCCACCTCCGGGCTCTTCATCCTTGGGCACATGGCCTAACCTCTCTGGACCTCAGGTTTCTCATCTCTAAGTCAGGAGCTATATTAGTATCCACCTCAAAAAAAAAAAAATTTGTTGAGTGCTTTCTCCATATCAGGATGTTCTGAGGGATGGAGCCATGAACGAGACATGGTCCCAGTTCCCCTAGAGTTCAAGTCTAGTAGGGAGACAATGACAAATCAGCAAAAATAAATAAAGGCCATGTCTGTGGTGGTAGGTGTTCTGAGGAGAATGAAATGTGGGGGGCTGGGCGAGAATGGGAGTAACACATGAAGGTGGGGACCAGGGAGAGGGAAGTTCTGGCTGAAAGGGTACTGTCTGATCCAGTCTTAAAGGGTAAGTAAAAGCCAGCCATGGGAAGCCCTGAAGGAAAAGCACTCCAGGTAGGGAGGACAGAAGTGCAAAGGTCTGGAGGCTAGAATGCTTTGGCTTGTTCAAGGAGAGGGAAGTCAATATGGCTGGAGCAGAGCCAAGAAAGTGCAGTGGTAGGGGATGAGGTCAAAGAAGAAACAACTCCTAAAGCTGAATTCACAGGTGACCCAGAACTTCCACTCCCAGGTATGGACCCCAGAGCAAATCCTGCACATGTGCCCCAGGAAGCTTGCACAAGAGGGTTACCAGCCCTGTCTTCAGCCCTCAGTAGGAAAACCCTAGAAACAACTCAAATGTCCATCACGGCGAATGGATGAATATATGTAGGACAGTCGCAGGATGGAATATTAATCAGGAGTCAAAAAGAATGAAACACAGTGACATGCCACAGGGCAGACAATTTCTAGGAATATCGATTAAGACGAAAAAAAAAAAAAAACCAGTCCCAGAAAGTTAAATGCTGTTTAATACCCCTATTACAGAGTTTAAAACAACTAAAATTAAAAATATACATTTTAAAGAATGCAAATATTGGGTGAAAAAAACTATAGAAAAAAGGCAAGCAATGGCATGAGGAGCCTAGGGTTCTAGATAATGGTTGACTCAAGCCTGTGGTGGGCAGCAGGAGGATAGGTTAGATGTTGCTACGAGTTCTAGCTTTGCTTTGGTCATTTTTGTTTTGTTTTAGCTTTCTTGAAGGTTAATTTTCATACAATAAAGTTCACCAGTTTCAACTGTAAAACTAGTGAGCTTTAGCAAACATATACAGCTATGAAACCACCACCACAACTAGCATATAGAACATTTTCATGACCCAAAAAATTTCCCTCCCGCCTAGTTGCTCTCTATCCCACCCCCACACCTGGCCCCTGGCAACCAGTGGTCTGCCTTCTGTCTCTTTGGTCTCACCTTTTCTAGAATCTACATACAAACCGAAGCACACAATGCGTATCTTTCGTTTCTGGGTGTCTTTCATTTAGCATAAAGCTTTCAAGTTTCGGGGCGCCTGGGTGGCTCAGTTGGTTAAGCGACTGCCTTCGGCTCAGGTCACGATCCTGGAGTCCCGGGATCGAGTCCCGCATCGGGCTACCTGCTCGGCAGGGAGTCTGCTTCTCCCTCTCCCGCTCCCCCCTCTTGTGCTCTTTCTCTCTCTCACTGTCTCTCTCAAATAA